TGATTTGGGGTGCTCTGTGAACCTCAGATACAGAGACTCACGGGGAGCCACCTGGGTCTTAGTATGTTGGCTAGGAGAACATAGAATCTGTTTTCAATGCCGGTCTGCTCTGCTCTACTTTTCAGGCACCCTGCAGACTAGGCCATCCATTGAGAGTCTACCAGATGTTCTAGGGGTTGGAACCAGGACCAAATTCACAGGGCAGACTTCTGAACTCACACACTAGGAGAGCAATGATGGACGCCGACTCTATGCCTGCCCCAGTGTCAGTTGAAAGAATTTAATACCTTTCATAATTTAAATCACAAAAGCATACAATCTTACACCTTGCAGCCACCATTGTGAACCTCTCCAGCTTCCTACATAGGGATAGTGGCAATAGTCACAGCGTCCACGGCCCTGAGACTGACAGCTCACTTACGCGTCTGAGTTTATGACCTTGGAACTGGCCTCTTGGGATAGGAGTGATAATTGCTTGACCCTTCACACGCTGCATAATTAATCCGTTTTATCTGATGGCCCTTCTACCATGCTCCTGCTGTTTTCAGTCTCCCTGTGGTCACTGCCTTGCCCTCAGTTGATGAGACATTGATGCTGGTGAATTCAGAATCGTACCTTCTTGGATAAGCGAGCAAGACTGCACTGTTCTGGAATTCTAGACTCGTCTCTTAGTAATTATGGGACCAAGAACTATTTACTTACCCTCCCGGGGCTTGCTCCTCTTTTGTAAATTTACATCATGGAGTTCAAGTTCCCTGAAGGATGGGAGAACCAGATGTGAAGACTAGTGAGACGCTGGTGTCAGAGAGGAGAGCTCAACGTGTGCCTTCCCACCCCCTTTGACAGGCCCGCGGGCACATGTTTTGTACATTTCCTGTGTGTCTCTGGGTGCCTGGGAATTGATTCATGATGAGCATGAGTGTCGGACCCTCCAGGATGGGACTTCGGTCTGTCTGTCTAGTATCATCTCCTGCCTTTGTCTGCTGGAGTAATTTACCTTAGCTGCATCCCGCTGATTATGCATCCCTGCACTTTATTCACCTTTCACCCTGTGTCTTTGTTTCTGTGCTCAGCATGTCCTCCGTTCATTCTTTCTGTACCTGCCTAACCCTTCAAGCGCAGCATCAACTCTTCCAGGAAGCCTTCCCTACCCACAGCCCATCACACATTCATAGCATCCTGAGGTTTCTTCTAATGTGACACCACAGTTCACTGCAATTATGGGTTTGTGTCCCTTGTTCCTCCAGCTAAAGAATATTTTCCTCCTGGGGTGAGGGGGCAGTGTGTGTTAATCTCTAGAGCGCAAGTGCTTAGCACACAGGAAGTACCAAATATAGACCAATTAGAATCACGATGATAAACGGTGGGACTGACCTCATGACTTGCTGGAGAATGTAAAGAAACCCAACAGGACTCCTGATCCTAGCGCTTCTAATATGAAAATGTAGCTCTGTCAAGTCAAATAGATCAGTAGCAACAACATATGTATTTACCCAAAAATGCATGATAGGCATTAGGTAACTTAGAGGAAGGTCATGAATTATTCAGAGTTAATATAGCCACTTATCTAATTACTAATGAGTTATTACTTTTAAAAAAGTTTGAGTAGGTCAGAATCTCTTGGTGATGTAGGAATTGACCAGTTTACTGAAGAAAGTGCCATCGCTTAAGCACATCAGTGGAAGGGGTCATGTGGAATTCCTACTGATAATAATCATAAGACTAATGAACTGTGTGGTTGCTGGGCATTATGGAAAGCGTTACCCTCACCCCTGCCCAATGAGGGCGGGTAAGTCCCTGTCCAAGTGCAGGATCTGGTGGGTAGCAAAGGCTGGACTTGACCCCATTCTAGTCCTATAATTCTAACTCCACTGAATTTTTAGGGCACACTGTTGCTTTGCCCCACAAAATGAAGTCAATACAATTTACCGGGCAGAGATTTTGGAGCACGCTAAATCAAAAAAGCGTCTTTTAAAAATGGCTGTTAAAACAGGCTTATTAACAGTGAGGAACGAAAACAGAATTTAGGAGTCAGGAATGAATATCTAGGAGTCAGGAATGAAAACAGACCCCACGATGGTTGGGGTCTGACGTTTATCCACACAATGTATATGTGTCTTCTGCACCATGATAGTTGAACCTTCGAGGGGCATTCGTTTAGTCCAGTGATTTTCAAATTTTATTTTTTAAACCAAGAAATTATTATTTTTAAAAATTCCTATGCAGAACACATTGTATAAAACTCCATGAGCAGAAAAATCTCAAATGAGTGGGACCCTCGTCCCCCACCCCCACCCCTGTCTTGCTGCTTCTGACACCTCATGACTTCCCAAAATATTCATTGAAATCCACTGGTCTATTCTGACCCTCTACCCGACACTGACCAACACTCCTTGGTTCTGAGCACGCTGGGTAATATGCCACTTTTCAGGCAGCCTGCCCCAGTAGGGCAACGTTAATGCCAGTGACTTCATCACCTATTATTATCGTGACTATTATTATTGTTGCTCTTATTGGTATTGCTATTATTATTTTAATTTGAGCACGACAAGTAGCGGCTTGGGAGGTTTCAGTGGTTTTTCCACACAGAGGGCCAGGGAAGAGCTCCCTCTCTCTCTTTCTCCCTGGAATGCTGAGTCACTTCTGCTCTTTCTCAGGACGGCTGTGGGTGATGCCCACCCTCAGTTTTGCTTTCTGTCCTCAGCAGGGGAACTTCTATGCACCCTCGGAGCACTGCATGCAGCACGCTTACAAGTGTCACCGGGAGCTGTGCTTCCTGCTCTTACACGCCTTCCGGGGACTCCGCGCCTACTTCCTGCTGATCATGAGAGAAGTCCCGGAGCTGCCGCACATGGAGCTGGGTAAGGGTCCGGCTTGGGAAGCGCTCGTCCCCACAGCCCGCCTGCCTCTTTTGGGCTGGGGTGCAGGCAGGCAGCATGCTTTTGTAAATGTCACTGTAACAAGCCCTGTTTTGGGTCGGTTTTCCTGTACTTGACATCATTCGAGCAGGAGAGAATCTTAGACGTGCAAATGCCAGAAGAAAGGACAGAAACAACTCAAGGAGCATTCATTCATTCATTTCTTCATTCATTCATCCACCAAGCATTTACTGAACACCGATACACACCTGGCACTGCTGAAACATAATGTTAAGTTGCTTCCTAAGGGAAGATGCTAGTTTATAGCCTTATCTTAATTAGGCTGCAGGTACAGGACTGCAACTTATGAGAGTATAAAGCAATCCTAAGAAATCAATACATATATACTTTGTAATCTGGATGATAACAGAAACCTCTTAGTAGCCATTGCACGTGGTGTTTTGGGTATGGATTGCTTCTTGCACATCATCACGCATCACGGAGACCCTTGGACCTGAATTCCTCTTGATTGGCAGGTGGTGGGACTGATGCTCAGAGAGGTGAAGTGACAGCTCAGGGTCGCACAGCAGCATGTCCTGAACCATGACAGGCGTGCCCAGGTCCTGCACTGACTCCAGCGCAGGGTCCTTATTCCACGCCCCCTCACTTGTGGCAGGTGGTGCGTCAAGGTTCAGCTCCAAGTCCTCTAATGAGGCCCCTTTGCCCCTCAACAGAGGCCAGGTCCTGAGCCTGGCGTTCAAGGTTAACAACAGAATCCTGCTGGCCACCTCCGCTTCTCGCCCTGGACCCCCACACCTCACCTGCCGAGGCAGTGTCCTCGCTTGTCTCTGGCGGTGGCCATGACTTTGGACCTTGTCCAATATTGCATAGAGCACATCAGATAACAATGACTCGTTTGCATGTTTCTCTTCCCCGCTAGACTTGGGGTCTTTGAGAGCAGAGGGCCCCTCAGGTCCCCATCCCTAGCGCCTGACATGTAGGGTGAAGGGGTAGGTACAGCACTGTTGATGAATTCAATTCTGGTGCCATCTTGCCAACTAGCTTTGTCAGCTCTAACACCCTCGTCAAGGCAGGTGCTGCTCTTTGAAGCATATAGTCATAGAGTTGATTTCTTTTTTTCAGACTCAAATGCTATGCACACAATAAAGACACACACAGAACCAGAGCCAGTGTGTACAGCTCAGAAGGAAAGTGGAGATTGTGCAGTCGCAAGTGACTTCTGTTTTAACTTCTTTTTATCCAAAGGAACTGAGTAGCTTTGGTTCGTTCATTCACTGTCATGTTTTTATTGAGCACCTACTCTGTGCCAGACACCAAGGACACAGCTGTGACGAGTATGACAAAAGTCCGTTTTGCCTGGCGGGGTTTACAGACTTGAGGCCAGCTGCCAGGTGGATAGGTGTGTGTTCATCAAGGGTTGCCCTACTCACCTGGGCAACGATGCTTTAATTAGAACCCATGCCTTAGCCAAGTGCACGCCACTGACCATGGCACTATGGGGGCTAAAGCCTGGTTTAAACACAGGCAAAAGAGTGAATATTAAATCGCAAATGGCCAGAGGCCACTGGGCTCCTGCTGGTGAGACGGCAGGGTCACAGGCTCCCCTCTCGATAGATAGTGTGGAAGCTTCTGATGATGGTTAATATCAGCGTCCGCAGGGCTGGGCAGTGGGCTCAGCTCTGCCGCTCCTCTTGTCTGGACTCCCAGCTGTTCATCTGGACACTGGAGACACAAATCCACGTCTCACCAATGTCACTCACACGTGCGTGAGTGTGTCTGTGTGCGAAAGCACCAAAGAACATGGAATCACTTGGAACTGCACCCAGAGGCCTTGGTGACGTTTATGGAGTGTGAAGTCACGTGGCTCCAAATCAGGCATCTCCTCCCATAGACACGACCCCCATGGGCAGTTAGAACAGAGAGAAGGGTCGTCCTCAGGACTTGTGTTTCTTCCTGTGACTCCAATGCCAGCTTGACACACCCATGCGTCTTTCATGCCGTTAGCAACTGCTGCATTTCAGGGTGTGTCCATTGAATCTCATGTTGTTATTGTTTTTCCTAGAGTCCCTTGCTGTTGAAGAAACGCTGTCTCAGCTGTGCTCCGAGCTCCAGGTAATCAGAGAGCTGGCTCCTGAGGTCGGAATGGCTGTAGTTACTCAGGCCCAGCGTGGCCACATGCTTGATGCAGAAATCAGAGGAGAAAGCCAGAACTCGTAACCTCACTCTGGGTTGAAGAAACACCCTTCTCTCCCTTTTCCCTAAATCATTATGTGTCTCCTGGACACCTACTGTGTGCCTAGCTCTGTGCTAGATATTTTAGAAAAACGAACCATGTTAGCAGGTCTCTGTATCCTGGAGCTCACACCCCCTTTGTTTATTTGCCTGTTACCCATCCATTGAACAGGCTTTGACTGACTGCTGACTATGTGCTTCTCACGGAGGGTGACAGAGGCCTTGCACGTGTGCTCAGATGACGTCACATGTGGCAGGAGCTGAGCTTCAACAACAGTGATGATGGTGAAAACAGTACTGAGCATTTGCCCCAAATTCATTAAGCATGTGTCAAGAATACACGCTTAATAAATGCTGGGCAAATGCACCTCACCATATTGACAGCCTCTGGGGCACTTCCACACCCTGTCATGCTGGCTCGTGTCCTAGGTGACAGAGGCCGTTATGCGCACAGAGCCTGGCACACAGCATCACGGCCGCTCGTTAGCCCCCTCCCGAAGGGCCTCGCCCGCGGCAGGGTTACAGGTGGGCACAGACACCCGTGTGGTCATGGGACCCCAGGAGGCTGTGTCTCTGACTCTGTGTGTGAGGTGGCAGTGGCTGGTGGACCTCCGAGAAGAGGCTGCGTTGGAGCTAAGCCAGGAGGAAATGAAGGGGCCTGTCTCTCGTGCCAGGGCATTCAGACCACGGAGCTGGAGGCAGAGGCGCAGGCGCAGGGCTGTGCTTGTGCCTCAGTGAGCGGGGCTCCTTTGAGGCTCTGGGGGGAACCTGAGCTAACGATGAAGAGGCCTGCGTACCCCACAAGCACAGACCTTGAACTGACCCCCAGGTCACAGGGAGCCATGAAGGAGGGTGAGAGGCTCGGGGAGGGGGGGTCTGTGTGGGAAACGGAGGGAAAGAGTGTGTCTGTAGGCAGGAAATTCAGGCAATGACATTGACAGCAAGACAATGACGATGCCAGCTTCCACTGCCTCGATGCTGGCCCCCTGCCCCCATGTACTGTCACTGCCTTCCCAGCAGACCTGAGAGTGCAGGGGAGGCACGGACATGTCCCCACTCATGTAGCCACAAGTGGACGCAGAGGAGTGTGGCTTCCTGAGAGCCCCTGAACCACTGAGCTGTCTGTGGGCCTGGGGCCTGAGCCCAAGGCCACCTGTGAGCCACTGCCGTGCTGCTGCACCTGGTCCCCGCACCCATCCAGGTGAGAACTCAGGTAGCCAATGGATCTGTCAGATGTATCTCATCAGGAGCCAACAGGTGACCTTCCTCCGTAGGCACCGGGCCCCAAGCTGTAGGGACACCACCCCCGGTTTGCAGTGATGGTGGTGCCCAGGTTTTATTTGACCAAAAGCCACCAAATTAGCTGAGTGCTGCAGGGGTGTGGTTGGGCGACAGGGAGAAAATGGAGGGTGGGGGTGGGCGTCAGCCTACTCTGTGGTTTGCCCAAGGGCTGGCCTGGTGCTTGGAGTGGGAGAAACAGCTCCCTTCCTAACCAACATCCCTAGAAGGTGCGCTCACAGCCCACAGAGCTCTTAGAGGCGGCCATCACCACCTAGTGGCCAAACATACAGGCGCTCACGCACACAGCCACAGTTGCATTCTTCTTCAGGTGACTTAAGACAATTTGCAAGCATAGAGCTCTACAGCAGTGGACCAAAGCGTGTCTATCTTTACTTCATGTGAGTCATATAGACATTTATTAGCACCTACTATGTGCCATCCACTGTGTTGTGTTGGGAATGCAAAGGTGGCGGAGACCTCAGGACTAGAAGCCTCCTGTGGAACAGATTGTTCACACAGTGGGCAGACGCTGCCAGTGGGGTCAGGGCTAGGCCAGGGGGGTGACAGGCAGGGCTGCCCGAGGACGGGGACGTGAAGAAGTGGAACTGCCGGGCGGCAGGTAGCGCACAACCGTGCAGAGCCCGGGGCAAGCGTGGATGTGGCGGTAGCACCACGGGCGTTTCTGGTCTACTCTGGCTGCAGTGCGGACGCTGTGAAGCCGGTTGTGGGTGGCCGGGCTGGAACGGTGAGTTGGAGCAGGTGACAGGATCCCTGCCAGCCGTGTGGCCTGATAGGAAAGGGCCAGGCGTGCTCTCCACAGTGAATGGAAAGGTTCCAATAAACTCAACCATGTCCATTCACACAGAAAAAAGCTTCAGCACATGCTCAGTATCTACCAGAAAGCAGTTGACCATTTTCTTTAAAAATACAGAAATGTAGGGTTTCCTGTCATGCAAAAAATTCTCCCTGGTTGGCCCCCCATAGACATCTGGGAAACCCTGAATTGTCGGATGGTCTTTCCTTGAGCCGCACCCTCCTAACAGGAAATGCTACAAATAAGTCACTGGCTACCGATTGGGGCAGGCTGAGTTTTGCTTCTCTTGTTTACTTGTTTTTTCCTAATCTCCTTGCCAGAGGGTTTTTAAATTATTTTATTTAAGCCCCAAACCATCGTGTTGAGGTGGTTCAAGAGGGTGACCCCATTGATCGGGACACCACATGCCTTCTCAGTGGGTCCTTGTTTTGATCTGAAGATGTAGGCTTTATCGGCCCTGTTTCCTAGCTGAGGAAACTGGCCCTGTGATCACCGAGACCTCTTCCTCCCTGGCCAGCCACAGTCCCTCGCACTATTGCTGTTCACCATGAAGTCTAGAGGGCAACTCACAGCTTTGATTATGTAGAGCCCGCCCAGGTCCCCAGGGAGCGAGCAACAAAACAGCTAGAGGCAACTCCTTTGAGAAGCATCTATGTCCCTTTCTAATTTTAGAATTTCTCAAACTTCAATGTGCATATGACTCACCCGGAGGCCTTGATGAGATGCAGGTCCTGATTTGGTCTGGCGTGGGACAGAGATTCTGCCTTTCTAAGGTGTTTCCAGGAGATATGGTACACCTGGAACTTCTGAACCACAGCTGGAATAGTAGCTAAACTCTGAAAACCCACTAGGGGGCACCCTTCCCGCCTGCACTGGGCCTAAATCACCTCCTCGTTCGCATGAAGGGCTGCGATTGGTCTTGCCAGAGAATCCCCTCCACTCCCATCATCTCTGATTGCACAGGCTCAACATCCGTGAGAGGTGGAAAGTCCTCTTGGCACTTAATTAGGAGCTTCCTTAGCCTTATCTGGAGCTATTTCTATAATCAACTAGGAGGGGAAATAGTTGTCCCAAAGACATATTTCACTAATAGCTTTTCTTTTTCTCCTTTTCACTCTGGTGGCTGAGCTCAGAAATCATGTTATATTGGAGGGGGAGAGCTGTGGGTGACAGGAGAAGAAGCCCAGTGAGGGAAGCCCAGTTATGGAAACATGGGGTACCTCTCACTGATGCAAAGTTACTGATTCAGCCAATAAAGGGTTACCGAATTTCTACTATCCATCACCCACAGTGCAGGTGGTGGGACTATGGAGGAGGCCAAAGCTCAGCGTGCAAGGAGGGATGTGGAAAGTCAAACAAGCTACGTACGGTTAGTGGTGCATGCGTGTGGTCTGTGCAAGTTCAAGTTGACTTCAAGGAGGTCAGTCTTAGATGTGCATTAGCACATAGCAGGGGGTGCAGTAGAAGTTTCAAAGGAAACATCAGAAACAAGGGGGACTGCACTAACTCCTTAAACAGTTGCCTGGTGGAGATCAGACAAGTCCAGAGTGGTGAGGACAGGGAGAAAGGGGGTGAGAGAAAAAGGCTGTTCCAGGGAGAGCGTGTCGCCCCATCAAGGGCCTGCTGCGTGGAAAGTAGCTGGGTGTTCCGGCCCCTGGAGGCAGGTGAGTGAGGCTGGGCAATGCGCATGCGCTGGGCCAGAGAGACGGCAGCCAGAGGGCAGGCAGGGAGCGTGGTCCGGGGCACAGTGGTGCCGAGTGTGCATGACAGAGCTTGACGCTCATTAGTGAGGATAACTGGCGCGCGAATCTTTAAGGCTCGTGCACCTGACAGCCTCATGCTCCGGCCTGCAGCTTGTTCAGCGACTGACCATGACCCCACCCCCACCCCCACCATCAATCAGGTCCTTACTTTTCTGCATCTAAATACCATTGGCCATGGATTAGAGGACTGCCCCAAGAGAGGACATTCCCTGTTTGACCCCTGCCTCCCAGCTGAGCCAGTGCTGGAAGTAATGTTTCTATCAGAAGAAAGGAAGGGCGATTGTCTCGTTTTGGAGTTGTGTAGCTTGCGGAGTCATCAAAGACTGATCTTCCCTCTTGGAAGAAGCAGCTTGTGGATGCTAGAGCCGAATGATGTATCTGGAAGCCAGTCATTAACTATAAAGTGACAACACCCAGCAATTAAAGAGCCCTACTGTGTGCTAACTTCCTCTTTTTCTCTTAGGTGCCTCACTCCACCTAGTATGTCTTCACCCAGCATCAGCCTTTAGCCAAAAATAGCCAAAGGGACTTCCAATGATTTAGTGGGTGTTGCGCTTAGCCTCCCTGTGTATTATTATACCCAATAAGTGGTTATTTGCTTTGCATACTCATTTTACAGATGAAGAAACTGAGGCATGGTGCAGAGCAGGGGGTAGAGGTGGGGTTTGGAGTGTCTGTGGCTGTGTGGCCCTGCTATAGCATCCATGGCAGAGAGGTCCCCACCACTCAGACTTATTAACCCGCCGTCCTATCTCCTCCACCAAATGAGGCTTCCTGAGGGCAGAGACCCTCTCTCCTTCATGCCCGTGTCCCCATTGAATCTAAACATGCGCCTGGGTCGTGGAGAACTCACACCGAATACTCCCTCAAGCCTCGGAGTCAGTGTCAGGTCTTGGCAGCCGGCTCCCTGCCTCTCCTCAGAGGCTTGATTTCTTTTCTCACGTCTCCAGAATTGACATTACTGCCAGGCAGATGGCTCTCCTAGTTCAACTGAAGCCACCGCAAGGCTCTCCCTGAGGCTGCAGGCTCTCGCTGTGTGGGCTCCTTCAAGCATTAGTTAAGGCAACCTGGGAGCCTCCGTAAGACAGGTAGAGTGATGGGGGAAGATGGTGGCGGTGCTCTGAGCACCAACATGTGGAAACCACCAGCCGCTTCTGTTCTGTGAGGTTATAAAGACTCTCATTTCCCAGGCGACATCCTGACAACACCTGTTATGAAGAGGCCGGGTGGGGCTGTGGCTTTGTGGTTAGACAGTCCTGCGGTTGAATCCCAGCGCTGTGTCCCCTTGGCCATACTCCTTAATCTCTCTGACTCTCGTTTAATTGTTCTGTGAAATGAAGATCGCAGCAACTCTCCACAGTTGGCAATTGTAGGGATTAAATAGGGAGCATATATAAAATGCCTAATAGGAAATACTAACAAGTGGAAGCTGTAATGATTACCGAGTGCTAAGTTCAGGATGTAATGGCATAGCCAGTCGTGTCCAGAGAAAACAGTGGAGTCAGTTAAGACGTAAGGAAGAGGCTTCATAGGGCGGGGGTGCTTGACCGCCACCTTTCTGCCTCCCCAGATGTTGAACCACCCAGAGAAGATAGCCGAGCAGATAAGTAAGGACCTTGCCTGGCTCGCCTCCCACCTCATGGCTCTGTGGACCCAGTTCCTAGACGCGGTGACTCTCCACTCCCAGGTGACCAGCTATCTCACACAGGAGCACCACACCTTGAGGGTAAGGCGTCCCGTGGTGTGAATTCTCTTCACGGGCCAGTGAGCTCTCGAGGAAGCGTCACAGCGGTTGTTAGTTCATTAGGCAGAATACAAACTGGGACTGGCTTCCATAGACCTGAGGGCTAGTCCTGGCGCCACCATGAACTTGCAACTGAGATTTTATGAGCTCACTGAGCCTCTCAAACCCTGGCTGTACCATCCATAAAATGCCTCCCTTGGCGACCAGATGATAGCAGAGTCCGTCTCAAGGGGTATTACAAGTGCTCTGTAAGTGTTTTGAAAAGGTGTTTTCCAATGTAAGACATCACCCCAGGTGTATTTCTTTGCCTCTGGCTTGCATGCATATGAGCAAGTACTAATGCGTCATAAAAAATGGTGGTCTCCTCATTTACAGCAAGAGGACCAAACAGCTGAATCCACACGAGCTTACGGGACACATGCGCATGACTGGCTTTGCAAATTCTGTTTCATCTATCTTTATTTATGGTCCCTGTTTTCAAGTGTCTTATATTCTAGTAGAAGAAATAAGACCTAAATATAAAAATGACAGAAAGCAATGCGAGAACATTCAAACACGCATTAAACTGTGCCCGTAAACCAGGCTCGGGCTAGAGCTGTGAATGAGGGCGGGCTGGCCGTTGTGGGAGAAGAGAAAGCCTGATGCTTCGTCACCTCTGGGTGTGGGCTCAGCTCTCCTCTCCTTAGTATCTGCCACTTACCTCCCTGGGCCTCGATTTCCTTATTAAAGAAAACAAAACCAAGGTAGTATCCACCGAACGAATTAAACGGTCTACATGATTTTACTCCTCAGGTCCGAAGGTTTTCCGAGGCCTTCTTTTACATGGAGCACCAAAAACTTGCAGTCCTGACCTTCCAGGAAAACCTGTAAGTAACCCATAGCGTGCCCACGCCACTCCACAAGTAGGCAGCCAAGACAGCCTTGTTCAAAGCCCCTTCTCCCGTTCATCTCAGCCAACCCAAGTTCAAAGTCCTGTTCCTCCATTTATGTCCAGTGGGTCCCTGAGAACGTTATTTTTACGTCACTCTTGTTTCTTTATTGTTTTTATTTTTATGTCTTCTAAACCTCACCTAGTCTTATCTTCCTTTAAATGTGAGGACCGAACTGAGAACGTCCCTATCTATGGAATGCAGCGTGTAAGCCACAGACTGCTCAGAAACACTAGGTGAGGGCCAGCGAGTGACACAGATGTGACTGCACACACAGCCATAGAGGACACGGCAGGGGACAGAGTAATGGCATTGTCCTCATAGCTCACTCATGTTAGTGGAGAAACAGGCAGGATGGAAATTATATCGTTTTAGGTGGTGACAAGTAAAGATAAACAAATCAAAGCGAGGACCTAGAAAGTGATGAGGCGGGAGTACGGCCCAATTCCTCATCAATGCTGAATACCTAGCTCTCTGAAGAGTAAAAACAAGGACTCCACACTCAACTCTGGTCTACAGGGTTTGCTGACCATTTTCTGAATGTCTCCTTGGGATTGGGGGTGGGTGGGGAGGCGATTTTAAAGCATTTAAATCTTCCTTGGACGCTCACCCGTGCTTTCCCCAGAATACAGACCCACAGCCAGCTGTCTGTGGATGTCCGGGACTCGGAGTACCTCACCACCATGCCCCCGCTGCCCGCGGAGTGCCTGGACATCGACGGCGACTGGAGTACCCTGCCCGTTATCTTTGAGGACAGATACGTGGACTGCCCTGCGACAGGTGAGTCGTCTCTGTCCTGGGGACACTCAAGAACAGGGCTTGCCACGGGTGTGCACTCAGTTGTCCTGTTCCTGTGCCAACAGCCGTGGGACCAAATTAATGAAGAAACGCTTTGTTAGTTTCTGGAGGAGATGCAAAAACTAAGGTTAAGCTAGTTATGTGAAATGACTTTGCTTTGGTGAAACTGACAAATCAATGTAACAAAAGGACAATTATAGTAAATAGGAACTTCCCGACTGCTTCTGATGCAAAATGGTGCCCAGTGCCTCAGTGTGTCCACCTACAAAATGGGTGCCTAATTCCCTCTCTCATCAGAGTGCATGAGCCATGGATGGATGGAGATCCTTTCTCACCTTGAATGTGCAATTCAAATATATAAAGTCATTCCTAGCTAAACTTGAGTAGCATTCGGTCAGACTACTGTGGAGTGCTTGCTTTATGCCAGGAGCCAAGCAAGGTATTTGAGAAAGTGGACTGCATCCATATATGCGTCAGTGGATGAGTGATTCATTTTAGGGAGAAAAGATAGCATGTTTGTGTGTATTTTGTTTGTGTGTATGTATGAGCGTGCACTGTGTTTTGCTGCTGTCGCATCGTTTGTTAATGAGCTGGTAGGTCACCTGGCGAGAGCCTGGTGCAAACTGGACATGAAGTGAATGTCAGTGCTCTGTCCCCACCCCCTCACACACGGCTCTGTCATGGAAATCAACACACTATTACAGATGACAAAGCTGAACTAGACCCCTGGTCCCTTAAAGGACCAGAAGGTGCCAGCCCCTTTGCTGGAGGTCTTATGGGCTTTATCTTTTTAATCCTCTAACCAAAACCTCACAAGCACTGGTTCCCAGAGAGAAACTGAGGCAGGAGTAGAAGTATGTATTTGAAGATCATGCAGCTCATGAAAGGCAACATCCAAAGCCAAGTCGCTCCATCCTCAAAGCCCATGGCCCTGCCACCTTTGTGAGGCACTTTCAAACATTATGCATGGGAGCTCATCATATAAATGAGGGGTCACTTATATTTCAGAGCATCTGCAATGGGAGATTTGTAGGGTGTCTTAAAAGTCTAGGTGACTTCCAAGGACAGAGCAACCTTGCAAAGGGCTGATGCTATTTGGTTCTTAGTTGTACCCTGACACCTAGTGTCAGCACTGGGTATGACAGCTGAATTGTGGACCGGCTGTAGAGATGGCAACCACCCCAGCTGCTCAGAGCTTAAAACTTCGCATTGCGACTCTGTGTGTGTGTGTGTGTGTGTGTGTGTGTGTGTGTGTACATAAATATGTTCATCTTCATTATAGTTAATATAATTTAACTCCAGAAAATTTGAAGAGTTAGAGAAGAAATTTAGAATAAGCACCCTCTATCAGACCCTCTAATGTTATCATTATTAATTAGGCTTTGTTGCAAATTGCCTTATAGTCTTTTTTTTCTATGCGTATTAATAGATACCCTAGTGGCTAGGAATCTCAGTCCCTCAACTGTGAGTGCCATTATATCGCCTATCTTTATTTTTTTTATACATCAATTTCATGTCAGCTGAACGCCACTCATCACATAGCGTTAGCTGGAAAGTCAACCTCAGTCCTTCTGGGGCTTCCCTGCCCAGCCCTTGCCCACCGTCTGCCATGTCAGTGTCCTAGAGTCCTACACGTCTGTCCACGCAGGTCCCTGTAAGCCCTGTGTGGTCCACATCTACAGAGAACGTGAGGGTCAGCATCTCTTGCAGCCTCTGTATTGTGCATGGGCTGCAGACCTCAGCGATGTGGAGACCCAAGCGTTTCTGTTCCCATCTTCCTAGAAGGCGGTGGCTCTCAGAGGCCTGGCTATCTCCCCAAGGCTCCTCCCCACAGACCTCTCACCTGACCCACCCCTACCCCCAAAACAACTTTTACAGAGTTATGTGTCCCCACTCAAATTAAAGCTTCCCTAGGCCCCCTTGTTCTTTTGCAATGTGCTTTGATGATTCTTTAATCCCAAGGCAAAAGCATCGGCCAATAAAGAACTATTTCCTTTTTCCTGAAAGGCTTGGTGACCTACATATTTACAACTTGCAATGAGGTCCTCAGATTGGCATTCCATTCTTTTAGTGAAAAAGGGGTCAAAGAGGTGCCTTTCTATATTAAAATAATCACATTCATCCATGGTTTGCTATAGTGCCTGGGCTAGAGCACCTGCTGTGTGCTGGGCACTCAAAAATTCTGTCTCTGTTACCTGTGATCCCTTCTCCACCCACCCCCTCGCTCCTCAGTCCCAGGGGGATTGAATGATTTCCCTAAGGCTTCAACAGTTGGCCAGACTGCCTGGATTTGAATCTTTTCCCCCAACAATTAGTAACTGTGTGAAATTGGGCCAAAGAGTTGTATATTTTATTCCATAGCAGTGGATAGGTCCGTCCACAGAACACTTAAGAGTGGCTAGCACAAAGGAAGTTATGAGTGCTTGTCAACTGATACCATTCGTTCATACCTGGCTCCAAGTCCATTCTCTTTGAATTAGATCCTTTGCTACTTTCCTTCTCCCCTAGTTGTAGTAGTGAAAGCGAACTGTTGCTGTTTCTACCGTCCACTTTCTCTCTGGGCTTCCTGATCCTCTCCCAAGAATCCACCAATCCACCTGTTACCTGTCATATAAAGACCAGACTCCTCATTCATACAGGGCATTCGAGTTCATCCCTATTGTGGGTTCTCTCTACCTGTCTAACCCCACCCCACCCCCAACTTCCTCTGCACACTCTTGCTCCATTCACGTGGATTTAACCAAGCCTGACCAGACCGTGCACCCCAGACTTCACAGCCTTTGTCCATGTTGCTCCCATCCTAATATGACCTATGACCTTTTTCTTGGAAGAAGATTAATTCCTACTCTCCAGGACACAGCCACATTCTTTTGGTGGGAGAGCCAACTCTACTGTACATGCATATGCTTCTCAGTACTTTTAATCCCTTGAAGGCAGACATGGGTGTATGATTATAACTCATCCTCCATTCTCCTCTTCCTAACCCATGGCCTCGTATCCGGCTTTACCTGTAGCACATGCCAGTGTGCTATTTGTGGGACTAAATGACCTGAACTTGTATTTTTTTCCAAACCCACACAATCGTTAATGAGGGTGATACGTCTTTCTTTTGCTACATTGCTGCTCTGTTCTCAGTTCATTTGATGAACACAATCAGTTGACTACATGCTAGCCATGATGCTACCCTTGGGAAAATAAGTATTCATAAAACAAACCCTCCTCTTCAGTGGGACCAAGAAATGCACAGTGGGTCGTAGTGTGGTGGTAGATGTGTGACAGTACATGTGCACAGAGGTGATGCTGGGAATTTGCAACAGAGAACGTCTAACTTGCTGTAGAGTGTGGGGACATACCACCAGAGGGAGGCATGTTTGCTTAGTCTCTCAAGATGCAAAGCACGTGTCCAGCTGAGGAAGTCATTGTTACATTACAGTCATTACAGTCATTATTCTAATCCTTGACGCAACCATAAAATTCATGCAAAGGTATGAGATGAGGCTGTCTCAGAGTCTCTTGCAGCGTTTAAGTGTCTCAATGGTTTACTTCAAGGTAACATTCAATAATGATTATAATTGTTTTACTTCTATTAAACCATATGGAGGATTTAAAGAAAATAGAAGACCAGCCCACCTTCTTTTCCTTGGTGTATATGGGAATTGAAGCCTCAGAATCCAGAGTTTTTATTGGGGTTTCATTATGTAGGTGTGATTGATTGAATCACTGACCACACAGCTGAACTCAATCCCCAGCCCACCTGTCCTCACAGAGATTGCACTGGTATCACCTGGCCAGCTGGTTGCATGGTGGGTCTTTCTGGCATGGCCAGCCCCCACCCTGAGTCATCTCCTTAGCATAAACTATCAGAGGACCCACCCTGAGTCCCCTGGTTAGTGTAAGCTATCAGGGCCCGTCATGAATACAAAGACACTCCTATCATTTGGGAAATTCCAAGAATTTAGAGGCTATCTTCTAGGAACCAGGAACAAAGCCCAGCCAAATTCTTCATGCTACCATCAGGCATTTGAATAATTTGTGACTATAGATTCTTAAACGATATTTCATTTTTTCCTGTCTTTTTGTAGGGCATAATTTGAGTGTTTACCCTAACTTTGATGTCCCAGCAACAAGTCCCACAAAACTGAGTCTAAAACACAGGGAAGAGAACCAGGTTGTAAATAGAAAATCGCCTTTAAGGGAATGCCTCGTCTTGCCCGCCATGAAACCGTCCCAAACGGACTCTGATGAAGAGGTGATGAGGTGTCCGGAACCGGATGAGAATGTAACCAAGGCAAATCCCGTGGACGTGTGTTCTGAATCTCAGGTGTATCTGACAATTGGGGAATTCCAGAACAAAGAAGGTGTGCCTGAAGATGAATGTTGGCCTGGCCAAGGGCCTGATGTCAGGACGCACCCCCTGACAGATGAGGACCTGCCCAGGAGTCCAGGCCCAGAGGATGCACTCACCTACATGGATGTGAAGTCCGGCACTAAGCGCCCCCGCAGAGCTGAACCCACAGCGGCCCCTGGTGCTCAGCATGGGGGCTTTCGGGACAACTGTGAAGTAGACAGAACTCTGCTAAGTGAAGGGGAGGCAAGTGGGAGTCGTCCATATGCTATCTCTTCAGAGAAAACAGCGCCCCACGAGGTAAGGACTGTAGAGAAGGGAGTTGACCGAGACGGAAGGACGCTGCTAAGCCTCAAGCTCCCCGCCAGTGAGCCCGGCGACCCACTAAACGCTGCATGGAGGGACTCCCTGGATGTCAGGGCTTCCCCCAAGGACCCGCCCACAGAGGAGCAGGAGGAAGTGTCAGTGGTTTCTGCGGAAATCAAGCGGTCTTCTTCCCTCGTCTCTGACTCAGGCATTGAGAGTGAGCCCAGCTCCGTGGCCTGGTCCGAGGCCCGAAGCAGGGCCCTGGAGCTGCCCAGTGACCGGGAAGCCTTGCACCAGCTGGTGCGGAGACAGGCCCTGCACAGGAACTCCTTGGAGGGCGGCCGCACGGAGAGCAACACGAGCTTGCCAAGTGGCATCCAGGCGTCCCTCACCTCCATCAGCTCTTTGCCTTTTGAGGAGGAGGAGCGGGAGCTGGCACTCACCAAACTGACCAAGTCCGTGTCTGCACCCCAGATCAGCAGCCCAGAGGAGCCCGCTGCAGACACGGCTGCTGGACGGCAAGGGGGAGGTTTTACGGAAGCTCCAGCTGTGCGCCTCCAGAGCGGAGAGCCTCCAGGACGGGGCGTTCAACTTGGCGGTGGCTCCAGCACCCAGGACGCTGAGGCGGCCCATCGTCTCGTGGAGGTGGCTTTGGATGCTGCCCCCCAGCAGGGCCCTGGTTACATGGACATCCCCAAAGGGAACAAGAGCCACTTTGACCCCCAAGGACCCTGCTGCCTTGACGGCAGGACCGAGAACCCTCCAGGTGTTGAAGCCAAAGATCTTAACTTACAAGGGCCATATGTCGCAGCCCTTGAAAACCCGAGGGACAGAGCTTTTCCTGGAGCACGAATGGAGCCCCCAAAGAGCATGTTTGCAGACCTGAAGGCGGGGAAAGGAGCTCTTTCCAACAGCGACAGCTCAGATGCTGAGAGCCCCACTTGTCACACAGTGCCTGGGTCGAGTCGTACATCAGCTATTGATGCCACCAACCCGGATTCAGCCGGTGAGCGAAGCAGCTCCCCTTTCATCAGTGACGACAGAGCTTCGAGTGGAACAGCGAGCACCTTCCTGGAGGCTGGACACGAAGCAGGCACTGTGACTCACTCCACTGACTTCCAAGTTCAGAGGAACCAAGAGCCAAGGGCAGGCGCTTCCATCATGGTGTCCCACCTGACCCCTGCAGAGACCTTCACTCTGGACAGCCTGACGGCCGTGGAGGTCGTCAACCTGTCTGTGTCTTGCACTGCCACCTGCCTCCCTTTCTCCTCTGTGCCCAAGGAGACCCCTGCCAGGGCTGTATTCTCCTCCAGACAGACCCCTGTTCCCATCACTCATCAACCTGTGGGTTCCTTTGGGGTCGTGTCTACTCACTCCAGCAACTTGCGGGATGAAGTCAGCGAGAGGATGTTTAGGTAAGTGTGCTGGTGGGGTTCCCTCCCCAGCACAGTCTCTGAGATGTTAGCACATAGCTCTCAATGTCATGCAGACTGTTTCAAAATTGAGATACTCAGTTCTGTTCTCATCTCAATCATGCACTCACATCATACAGGTCAGAAACGTAGAAGAGCATAAAAAAGTAAAACTTATCAATAAGCCCATCTCTCAAATATGGCCACTGTGTAAGTTCTTCCACATGTTTTTCTATTTGCATCTCTATTTGTATTTTCTTTTATTGCAAACATAGGATAATCCTGTGCACACTAAGTTTTTTCAGCTTAGTATATTGGATATGTTTAAAACCTGGTTTTGCATTATCATGTTGATGTTAAACAATATTCCATTGTGTAGATGGACCATGACTTATTAACACAATCCTTTAAAGATGGGCATTTAAGTTTTTTTCAGTTTTTATTATGATGAGCACTTCTCTCATGAGCATCATGGTACCTCTAACTTTGCACCTTTGGGGGACAGGACGGCTTCTTCAGATTGGCCCCGTGAGCCCCTTTTCGTGTGGCCCTTATGTTTATCTTTCCTTCTGCAATGGCAGAATCCACCCCTCACCCTTGTGCTGGGTTTGTATTCAGATGACTCCCTCACCTATAAATTATATATTTGATTAAGTATAGTATAGAATCATCTTATCAAAGCATCCCATCTTATTTACTCTTTTGCAAAATGCTGAAGAATGACATATGAGTGATACTGGCAAAAGAAATTACACAGACAGGCCCACTGTGGATCGCCATTTTACGAAGAATATTAAATACCCTTGAGGTGCCCATGTCGTCAATGTAACAAACACTTAGCAGGCACTTTCTGATGCCCGGCCAGTGCCATCCTGGGTGTTATTGTATTTACAGCCTATCAGGGGGACAGAGGATGAGAGGAGTAAATGAGGGCGTGGGGAAAATGGGACGGCTCCTGTGTGCATAGCTGAGCCAGGAGGGGAAGGACCTGATGACTGGGGACAGCGAGTGTCAACAGAGATGGTGGCCGAAGCTTTTTGAAGATGACACCGAAACTGAAAAGAAAATATGAGACACGATGGTGGTGATGATGATATGGCTAGTAATAGATAACATTTTTTTTTTACTATTTAATCTGTTTCAAGTACTGTTCTAAACATTTTGCATAGATTATATCATTTAACACAGAGAATGACTTTATTAATTAGACACTGATCCCATTCCCCTTTTACAAACGAAGACACGGAATGAAGAGAGGTTAAGTAATTGGCCCACAGCCAGAGGTGTCAAAGCTGAGACTCTGACCTTGGCAGCCTGATGCCTGAGCCCAGGCTCGTAACAACCATCTTGTCCGATGACCAGACAGAGAACATGGTGACCAGGTGGGAAAAGGCATTTCTGGCAGAATAGACCCAAATGCACGGAGGCACGGAAGCCAAGCAACATAATTCACGCGAGGGAGGATGAGAAATGTGTTGTTTTTGGAGGCTTGGAGATGATGTTGGAGAAGTGGGTGGAGGCCATGTCATGGCGGCTTCGTAGGCCAGGTTAAGAAGCGTTCACTCTGGGGAGGACTTTTTAAACACTGTGTGGATCCTTGCCGCTGGATAGAATCTTGGATGCCTCATTCAATGCAGGCGCCGCACAGAAATCTACGGGACCCAAAGCAATGCAGCCTTGGGGTTTCCCAGTGTGTCCTCCCGCTCCTTGCTCAGAACCAAGCTCCCCTCACTAGCATCTCCCCTGAGGCCTCATGTCCATCGCTCCTGCATCCCAGCTCATCTCATCTCCTATTCGACATGGCAATGCACAGCGTGGCTTGTGATTAATTAGTGTGTTCTCCAGTTTTTATCAGGCCAAAGAAAAATTTAAAAAAGAGCTGAAGATTGATGGATTTCTGTACAGTGACTTGTCCGTACTAGCTTCTGATATACCGTATTTCCCACCAGAGGAAGAGGAAGAAAATTTGGAAGAGGGGATTCACCTGGTGGTCTGCGTTCACGGCCTGGACGGTGAGTCCCCCAAAGGCCTCCTCCTCGAAACGCTGTGCTATGAACAATGGAGGTCATATAGGGGTGAATCTGGGTCAGGTACTCCTTCAGCACATGTCCCGTGAGCTACTGGGGGATGACGTAAGGATGCCGGGTCTATGGCACTGGCGTGGCCTTGCTCCCGGAGGAAAGATCTCTCTGGCACGAGAATCTGTTGAGCAAATGAAATGTGTAGATGAAATGCGTAGATGAATGAATGGATGGAATGAAGGAAGGGAGACACGAAATGTGTTCTTTGTGCCTCTGCTATGAGTAGCGGCCTCCAATTCTTAAGCCCTCCATCCCTGATGGTCACTTTGGAGCAGGTGGCACCCATGGCTCCTGTCCCTGAGGGCGACGCTGATTCTATTGTAGATAGCTGCACCCCGGCTGGCCCGTTTGGGAGACTCGCTGACTCCCTGGAAGTGGCAGAGCTATTGTAGATAGTCTCTGTACTAAATGAGACATTTGAGAGGGGACTTGTGGATGTCACATTGCTCCATGTCAGCCGTTAAGTGGCGCCACGAGTAACGTCCCGAGTAGACAGAATTGGCTGTGGCCGCAGTAGGAGGTGGCGTATGTGGAATGTACACAAGCCACGTGCTTGTAGATCACGGAATAATTCCACTGAGGGGGGTCTTCGAGAAAGGGCTTGATCCGGGGGTGGGCGCGGGGAGCTGCCCGGGACCAGTTGGGTTGGACTTGTTTTAGTTGTTATTGTCTGCTTAATGAAAAAATGGGAAATGGAGGGATGGGAGAAGAAGGGGAAAGAAATCCCTGCATGTCAGCCTTTACATGATTAACTAGGGTCTGTGCTGGGCTGTTTGTCATTTTTAGGGAACAGTGCAGACCTCCGGCTGGTAAAGACTTTCATAGAACTGGGGCTTCCTGGAGGCAAACTGGACTTCCTCATGTCTGAAAAGAACCAGGTATGACAATCGGAGCATCAGAACTGAAAGAGTCCCGGAGTCACATCTTACATGAGCCTCCAAAAGTCCCAGGCACAGGTCCTGCCAGCAGGAGATCTGGCCTGCGAACATGGTTCTTTCTTCGTCCATGGACACTAAGAAACTGATCAGGGTGCTTTATGCCTCTGCTACCTCGAGGTCCATTTATGTCAGGCGACCATGAACCCTAACGGCCTTCCCCTCACCCCCTCTTCTCCCTCACCCTGACGAACACTCACGAAACCTTTTGTTCCCCTTTGTAGCTTGGAGCTCAGTTCAGCTCCCGGCAGCCCACGACCTCATAGGACAGCTCCACTTATGAGGAACTATTTCTTTTATGTTGACCCCAAATCTCTCTCCCTGCCGTTTCCACCTGCATTTCCAAAAGTTAGTCCTTGATGTTAAATAAACCAATCTAGTGTGTCTCCTCCATGTCTGCCCTTTCAGATAGTCAGACATGGGTGACATTGCACGGTCCCTTATCCTCCGACCACCCTTCCTGAAACACAGATGGCTTTGTGGTCCTTCTCAGAGCCGATGTCTGCCCATGGCAGTGTGGCCTAAGGGCTGTGCTGGAGAGGGGGGTGGGCTCTGGAGTCAGGTGGGAATGGCTGTGAATCCTGGCTCGTGCCCCGTGTCACCTCTCAGGGCCTAGTTCCTTCCCTGTGACCTGGGGACAGCAGCACCAGGGCGCATGTGTGACACCGGCCCCATGATGCAGCAGCAGGCTCTGCACGTGCGCTACTCTCCATCAATTCCACTTCTCCCTTTTGTTGTCAGCTGCTCTCCTGACTGAGGATTCTTCAGTGTCCCCAAGTTTCTTCACCAGAGCCGCAATCTGTAGACCCTGTTTCTTGACACTGACCTCCAACCTGTAACCCCAATGTCGGGCTTAGGCGCACCCCTGGAATGTGCTGTGGTGTTTAATGGGGGACCTGGCCTTGCTCCAACCCCACATGACCCCACTGTGTCCTCTGTCCTCTTTCAGATGGACACATTTGCAGACTTTGACACCATGACGGATCGGCTATTGGATGAAATCATTCAGCACATCCAGCTGTACAACCTGTCCATATCCCGGATAAGGTAAAAGGAGGCCTCAGGCAGTTCATGCTGGCGGGAGCGGGGGTGGGGGATGGGGCTGATGTGTCTGTTGTGTACAGGTCAGCATGAAGTCCTCTGTATGCCACCAGGGTAAGGTGACTTGGGACATTTCATAGAGTAGATTCTTCTCAGAGCAGCAGTGACTAGTGGGGCTACTTGGCACCCCCATATCTGTCATAGCACGTGTGCAGGAGAATATACCTTCTCTAGCTCATGGAATGAGATGTGGCCCTAATCAAATATTCCTAGGTTTGAATTATTGTCCTTCTAACACTCACAAGTCTGAATCCTGACGCTGCCATGCAATGCTTTGCACACTTTCTAAATCCCGGGGCCTCCTTTTCTGCTGAGTGGGCCAGCACTGAGAGGATGTGTTACATGGCGGGATGCATTCCTGCCCAATAAGAGAGTTTCTGTCGATGCTAACTGCGTCCTTCCACCATAACAGATAACTTGGCTTACACGTTTAGATGATTCCGGTGGGAGTGAATAGCTTGCACTTGGAATGGGTGGGTACAGCGGTGGGTCCTAAAGGGCTTTCCCGCTTTAGGCCTCAGAGATAAACTATCACTCTGTATTTCACAAAGGAGGGTTCAGAGGCCTGCAGAGGTTGGGGAAGAATCAAAGGGCACCATGGGAAGAGGAAGGGTGGCGTCCCTTTTCTGTAGTAGGGTTTCCATGCACATTGTTTAATTTGGAAGCACTGATGTGCTGGATTCATGCACCTGTGAGGAGAGGACGGTGGGCACAGAGCGTGTAGGAGGGGTCCACCGGTGCAGGCTGAGAGCGGGCAATGCGACAGATTCATGGTGGAAAGAGGGACGAAGGAACCAGGAGCGGTGATCAGGGGCCAGGCCCTGAATGGCCGCCTAAGCCAGGTGGAAAATTGGGGCTGTATCCTGTGAATGACCAGGATGGTTCAGTGCTCAGATGTGTGTTTCAGGAAGGACCCCAGGTGGACTGAGAGGAGACATGGACACCGGGCGGGGGGCTGTTCTAACAGTGCAAAGCCGGGCACGATGCCCACACTTCTCCTCTGACCACACTGGGCGCAGAAGCTTCCATTCACAAAGATGCCGTCTCAGGCTTACCATGGCCAGAGCTCGGAAACCTAAAGGGGAGGAATTAGTGGCCCCCCTTCATCTGGCCAGTCCCCCTAAATCTGGTGGGAGGCAGAGGGCGGCTGACCCGTTGGCGCTCCCAGAATGTCACGTTCCCGACACCTGGCCTTTTGACGTCTCACTCACTGGCACCGGTTCCCCCTCTCCACAGCTTCATCGGCCATTCCCTCGGTAACATCATCATCCGATCGGTCCTGACGAGGCCCCGGTTCCGGTATTACCTCAACAAACTCCACACGTTCCTGTCGCTGTCGGGGCCTCACCTGGGGACCCTGTACAACAATAGCACCCTGGTTAGTACAGGTAAGGCTGCCCCAAGCCTCATCATTTCTCAGAGTTCAGTCGGAGCAGAGGGGACAAGCAGCCAGAGGCAGATGACCTCCTTGATGGAATCTTGTGACTTCAGAGCGTCTTCATAGCGTGGGGCGATGGAAAGGCACCTGGGCTGAGCAAGACACCCTTTCGTTTGTGCACAGAGCGAGGTTAGACTAGGTGTCTCCCAAGGTCTCTTCTGCCTACAGCCACCTGTGAGTGTGAAGGCGAGGTCCCTGGCTTCTGGCTGGCAAGGGCTGAAGAGACATAATGCTGTGGAGGAGAGAGCGTGGCTGGCTCAGTCCACCCGGGCTGCTGTGGGGCCTTGCCAGCAGCAGGTGTTCATTCCTCACCGCTCTGGAGGCTGGGCGCTGAGACGGGCAGCCAGTATCGTCCGGGGAGGGCCTCCCAGGTTGCAGGCTCCTGGTTGGACCTCAGGCGGAGGAAGGGGCGAGGGGGCTCTGTGGGGTTTCCTCTGATAAGGGCACTCATCCCACTCATGGGGCTCCACACTCGTGATCTAAGCACCTCCCGAAGGCCCCACCTCCACATACCATCACACTGGGGGGGTAGTTAGTAACATGTGGATTTGGGGGAACAAACAGTCTTTAGCACTCAGCTGGCAGTCTGTGGGGCAGAGCCTAGAGCAGCGGGCTTGACATCAGGTCACTTCTCACGAGCCTGTGGTGAAGCTCTGGCCAAGACAGTTCATCTCTGTGCTACTGAGTTTCCTTATCTTTAACGGGGAGCTAATGTGTGTGTGTATGTATGCTTATACATCAGAATAGATGCATGTATGATATATAGATGTATATATGTGTATCTCTATAAACACATATATTATGTATACATACGTGTGTGTATTTGCACATGTGTGTGTGTGTGTGTGTGTGTATCATAGGATTGTTAAAGATTAAACAGGAGAAGGGGAAAAAAACGTTAACAGGTATGGAAGGTTGACTGTAGCCAAATTCTGTGCTTCTTGCTGGAATGTAACAGCACAGCCCCAGCTCCGAGGCTCTCGCAGCCCCCTCTGTGCTATGCGGGGGCGACCTCACAGTGGATAAGGAAGGGAAGCTCGATGAATCTTCAAAGGGGAGCAGAAGTTCCAGAGCAGCACACAGTAGGACAAGTTTTCTGTGCAGCAGAAACGGAACATGTAAGAACACAGAAGCGTGTTATCAGCCAACCCCAGGGGGCTCTTCATGACAGAAATACCACAGGATGACCCAAGGGCTAGGAGATGCCAGTGAAGCGCCCAGTGGGAGCCTGAGGATGAAGGGCCTCACGTGACACGATGAGGAGACAGACTAGCCCCGCAGACCATATGGCTGCTAATAACAGGTGGTGACTGTGAAAAGGACATGATTTGGGGTATGGCTGCCCGAGTAGGTCGTTGGGGTTTTGCGTAATAATAAATAGTTTATTAAATCATATTCCTAAGGAAGACTTCAATAGTCCTGATTGCCCCCATTCCTGATGTGGCATCTAGAGTCACCTCTTGTGGGGTCCCCGCTCCGTGCCCACCACTGCTCCCTCACTCAGGGAAAGCGGGGCTGCGTGCTTGCCTCGCCTGATGTGGGCTTGTGTGTCTGCTCTTACGTTATTTTAAGGACATTATTTGTGAGTTATTTGGAAGTTTATTCCTCTGTCACCCCATCTTTCCTCATAAATCAGGGAAGCCCTCTTTCAATAGAAACAAGTGATGTAAGCCACAATTAATTTTTTTTACAATTATAAAGTAATCTTGCAACATTATGACAAGCTTTAAAGAGAGATTACCGAGAATTCTTCCAATCTAGCATATCCAGGGTAATTTTGTACAATTCACTGTACCTATCTGTCTGCAAATACATTTACACAGCAGAAATAAAAACAATAGCCACACAATTGTATCTTGTTGACTTCCTTGCAGTTTTGTCAAACTTATTTGTGTGTGTGTGTGTGTGATTGGGACATAATAGGCATACTCATCAGGGTTAGTGTCAGCATCACCGTAGTAGGTGAATGGATGGACTCTGAAATGAAAGGTCAGTGTTAATTTTTCTATCTTCTACATGGATCTGTAAGGAGTGTAGTTACATACTTTTCTGTATTTAGGATTGTTTCCTTAGCTTAGATTTATGGAAGGGGGATGCGTAGATCGAAGGCTGTGGACAGTTTCGTGACTCCTGGAGTCTGTCGCCACGTCATTTTCAGGATGGTTTTATAGCCCTGCCCCCAGGACATAAGAATACAGGCATCCTTCTAACTTCCTGGTGTTTTCTAGAAAGGCTGATATGCTCTTCTTTTTAAGCTAACTAAACATCCCCATCGAATGCTGACCTCTCCCCTTTTGCTGTCCCTGTTTCATGTGTTTCGTTTTTGTTTTGTTTTCCTAGGCTTGTGGCTCATGCAGAAGTTGAAGAAGTCGGGGTCCCTCCTGCAGCTGGCCTTCAGGGACAACACTGATCTGCGCAAGTGTTTCCTCTACCAACTCAGCCAAAAGACAGGTGAGTGGCTCTCTGGGCAGCTCCCAGGTGTGGCCCTGAGCGTGAGATGGGGAGCCACCCCTGCGGCCCCAAGTGGCGTCCACGCTCCCTTGATTTCCTCTGGAGGCCCAGCGTGCACAGGCTCTTCACTGGGCAGGAGACCATCATCTGCCTGAGAACTCAGCCACTCCTGGGCCACCTGCCACATGACGTGAGATGGGGGTCACAGATAGGGGCCCAGGTGTGTGAGGGGGTTCACCTCTATAGTAGAGCTGGAGCCCCTGTTCCCTACCAATCTTTTAACTTTCTAGTCACTCAGGTTCAGGGTCTGTGGGCCAACTCACAGCTCCTTCACTCAGGTACAGATCCACCTATAAAATGGGCAGATAAACACTGTTTATTTATGTTGCACTGGGGAAATGGGGGTCCTTCCCCGGCAGGCCTGACAGCACCCCCTCACCCACACTCTGCAGTGAGGAAGCTCACAGAGGTGTGGAAGCCCCCAGCTGTCTGGGAATAAGCATCGGACACCAGTGGTTCCCCGACTGGGCACAGAGGTCACCGATTGGCCTCCCAGTCCTGCTGGGCAAGTCGGCCTGGCCCGGGGCTGTCCCCAGGTCCCCAGTCATCCCTCAGTGTCTAAACACTGGCTCTGTTCACATCTCTGCACCTCCCTGAACATGAGTCTGGCATCACCACGCACTGATGTATGACTTTCAGCAAGATCCTTAGCCATCTGTGTGTTAGGTGACCTGCCAGGGTGATGCCCACTGGAGAAGAAGTGAGGGGTGCGGGACTGGGCAGAGGGGAAGTGAGGTGGCAGTGTGGTCACCACACAGACCTGAGTGACCCCACCCATGGAGGGGCTGGAGCTGGTGCAGATCCTAGAGCAGGGCAAGGGCCAGCCTTCACACCCCTGCCCTGTACCAGCCTGTCATGGAGGCAGCCTGACACCCTAGCCATTGTTTTTGGGATGTGATCTTGGATGAGAGGACCCACTCCAGTGATCGAGTCCCCTGAAGGGACACTGGGCTGATTGCAGTCCAGAGCGGGGTCCTGGGAGGGGCCTAAGTGGCACACTGTAGTGCCTGGAGATCGCGATGGGCTCCGAGAACAGCAGGAATATACTCTGTTCAATGTAGAAGACCCCTCTATCTGTGCAGGCAGGGAGGCGGCTTCAGAGGCTGTTTTCCTAAAGCAGGTGACATGACAGGGGCTGGCCTTAAGGGGGCTGTTGGGGTGGAGAGTGGGAAGCAAAACACTAGATGTATTTCCTTACAGGCACCTAAGTGTTCCTAGCCCCTGAGAGCGTTCTTGTCCCTTATGCTTTGCTTGTCTCGCTGTTCAGAGTAGCTTGCCATGGGCCTCCTTAGCTCCCATGCCCGACGAAAACAAAGCCCTCCTCTTCCTCCTAAGGTACAAAAGCTACAGTGTAGCAAATTCTTTTCTCCACCTCACCAACCAGAAGGTCCCTAAGCCATGTCACAAGTAGCATGTGAGGAATCTGCTTGCATTGTCCCCTCCCCCCAACCCCCCACCCCAGGGCAGGTCCCTACAGTATGTGCAAACCAGAGGGTGTGTGTTGGAACTCCCTGGGTCAAGTCACCCACCTGGCTTGTTGCAGGTCTGCAGTATTTTAAAAACGTCGTGCTGGTGGCTTCTCCCCAAGACCGCTATGTGCCATTCCATTCAGCCAGGATCGAAATGTGCAAAACTGCCCTCAAAGACAGACACACGGGTAAGCCGCATTGCATTTCTATGATTTAAGCAGCAAAAGTAAAGTCATGAGGTTCCTAGGAGTAGGAACCCAACACACGCCCGGTGACTGTCTCGAGGTTGCTGTGCCACGTGCAGCCCCGACGCCCTTCCTGTCCTCTCCCCTTCCCGCAGGGCCCATCTATGCGGAAATGATCAACAACCTCCTCAGCCCCCTGGTCGAAGCCAAGGGCTGCACTCTGATCCGACACAACGTATTCCATGCCTTGCCCAACACTGCCAACACCCTGATTGGCCGAGCAGCCCACATCGCCGTGCTGGACTCGGAACTCTTCCTGGAGAAGTTCTTCCTGGTGGCGGGACTCAACTACTTCAAGTAGCGGCCTTGAGGGAGCTGGCATTGGGGAAATCGCCAGGAACGCTGACGACCTGGGAGCGTTTGAGCTGAGACATCCTTTTGTGGACCTCTGCCATTCCGGAGTGGAGCCCATAGGGACAGAGGGTGGGGTAGGACCGGACTTTCGAGGTGCTTCCAATTTGGAGATTTGGGGAAAGCTGAACCCGTCATGTTAAAGACAACCGACTTGGTCCGAACCTGTCTCACCACCGGAGTCTCCTTCAAGATGCTTTGTAGGGAAAAGAGGCGAAAATAAAGAAACGATACTTGGCGTGGGGGAGCCCACCTTTTTAACCACCACTGGCTCACGGTTTAACTAGAGGTGTCCAGTATGTTACTAGCTCATAGCTTTATCATTTTCGATTAAATTAAGTGCACACAAGCATTTCAGAACTCAGGTTAACCTCTGTGCAGAGTGAACACATTTGTGTAAATATAAATCTTAATAGATTCAATGTGCCACTTGTTCCAGAAAATGTGATGTCCATGCTCTCACTCTCTCCTCATGTTTTCTCGACAAGGGGCAAAGGAATGCCCTGTAAACTCCACTTTTATTTCCTAACAGCAGGGGGCGATGTAAGTTGGGGCGGGGCATAGACGTGATGCTGTGGGTGCAAGTTCGTTACAAAGAAAACTAACTAGAAAAAGAACATGGAGATTGAGTTGGGCCATCCACTTCTCCAGACTTTTTCTGTGCATGGCCTTGGTCCGTCGATGACTTGAGGGGATTGCTTAAACCTCTGTCTGTGGGAGGGAAAGCTGGCTTAAACTAAAGCTAGCAGACGGGGGCGGAGGGGGGGCACTGAGATTAATGCACATATGTGTGAAGCTCCGGCTGGTGTACTTCCAAAGAAATACCATGTGAGCATTTGATGCAATTGCAAAAAAATTAAAACCATTAGCGTAGCCAGCTGCTGCTCCTCTCCGTGGAAGGAGAAAAAACATCTCAGTGGAGGAGTGCTGGATAAAAAACCTCAGGGGAGCTCTAAGAAGGGTGCTGGTTATCTTCCAATAGACATGTCTTCTTGCCTTAGGGAAACAAAGGGCTAGGAAAGGCCACCATTGAGGAAACTCAAGAGTGAGGTCAGAGAGGAGAGCAACAGCCAAAGGGAAGACGCAAGTTGTTGTTGGTATGTGGTTAAGCGGAAGTTTTGAAACTTACCAGGGTGTTTCATATGGTCCCAGAGATGGAGTCCGCTCTGTGGGCTACAGGAGGCCCAGAGACTCACTTAGCTGTGTTAAAGGAACACGTCAGCCGGGATGGCGGGGATGATAAGATGGGAGACCCGTCTTCTGCACGTGAAAGCTCCCGCTTCTGGAAAATTCCCTTTTAAAGTGTGGAAACTCACCTGGGACCAGATTCCTGGTCCCGGCCCCAGGACCAGGCCCCTAGGTCACCGACACCATGGTAACAAAACCAAGGAAATCTTGGCTCATCTGAGAATTTTATTTCTTTGCATATTAACAGTATGGCTTTGGAAAACAAACCAGGCCATGGGAGACACGTCCAGGTCGGCAACTTTGCAGAACAGACGTGTGGATTTCTTGAGACAGAAAAAAGGGGGCGGGGGTGGTGGGGCTGGACGCTCTACAAAGGCAGACTTCCACACAATGGATTTAGAGTTTCTCCGTGGGTCTTCCTCGAAGTTTCATTGCATCCTAGCCTCAGCACAGAGGGCACCCGGAAGTCCTCTGGGCACTTTCCCACTGGGTAGTTTTCCAAGTTCCAAATGGGCTTAGATAAACTATGTCACTCATGAGCAGTGCCGACCCAGGAGGAATTTGGTCCCTGCCGACCAGCCTGTGATGTGGTTTTCCTGGCGAGTGGCCAGGCTCAGGAGCCTGTAGCGACGCCTCCTTCCGGGCCCCCTAAGGAGCCCTGCCTGTCTGATGAGTGCATTTTGTTTTGTTTCCACTTCCCATCAGCAAAGTTTGTCATTCCCTGGTCCTTTGAGAGACTGTGTCGCCGGCAGTTATGGAGCTAGGGTGAGTCTGATGACCATTGTCTTTTCCAAAAGCCAGGTGCCATTTTTAACTTTAATATGCTGCCTGGACATAGTGAGAACTCATGGCAATAAATGTCCAGCTGCATGGTGCACCTCTTTTTTTTATAGGGGTGCTCTGCTGTCTTTGTAACCCTCTCTGGCCTCTTAGCTTCTATTATAATTGTGTAGAAAGGACATCTCAGTTGTAAATAAGAGTGTCAAGTGCCGTGTTATCATGCCTCATTCGAAAAGGCTTTTTTATGTGTCTTTTTATTGAGTATAGATATCAAAGATATATAGATATATATATTATATATATACACATACAAAGTATATATAATATAAAACAGGGACATTCTGTTATTAATGATGCAAATTATAAACAAAATGCCTGCCAAGATAATGGTCTAGTATGTCTTCATTCTTGGCATCATTTTTGTTTTTTGTTTTTATGATTTGCTAAGTTCCTCAGAACTAGTTAGAAATCAAAATGACCTATACTGAGATTAATTGGAATTTGTCATTCAGAGAAGCCGATGTGAACCTAAAGTTACCCTGGGGCAGACTGATTACCTCAATGGTCAGGTGGAAAGCAGCTGGGTGCTCGGACCCTGGGGAGAAGGCGGAGTAACTCACTCCTTTCTTGTTCCTTATCACGATGTCTTCATCTGTGTCCTTGTGGGTCTCCCGCATATGAATCTATGTCCTGGAGAGCAAGAACCATGTCTAAGTTATCACTGTACCCCTATTGCTCTACCCATTGCCTGGCATAGAGTTGGGGTTCAGTAAGTGTTCGCTGAGAAGGGCCTGTTTGTCGTTGGAAGCTCACGCTGTCTTCTTTAGCCCGCAGCCAATCCACAGCAGCTGATTCTCTTACAGGAATGGTTTGACTTTGGCTTATGTTGATCCTCTAAGCTGCTGAACTTGTAAGAGGAAAGTAGTTTCAAGAGATAAGACATCATAGTGGTCCTTTTCTCTAATGGAAAGAGCCACCTATATCTCTGGGGCATGCTTCCAAGACGAGGAGGCGGGGGAGTGGGTTAAGTTTTCTTGTCTCTATAATAGATTTGAAAGTATCTACTTTGACAGGTAGTTGGGAGGATGGATGAGAAGGGAAGAGCCAAGTGTCTGGGACAGTGCCTGCTTAGAGGAGGTGCTTTAAACTTTGGGGAGGTACCGTAGGAATATTCTATAACAAAAGGTTAGCTATAGGAGATTTTCTTGATGATTAGTTAAGAAAATGTTACATGGCCTCAAAGAAATTCCTACATGATGGCTTGAGGGAGGTCACCTTTTTGAAACTTTAGGCTCAAGCTTCCTGCACTCACAGCATTTTATTACGATTCCAGGAGCCTCCAAACTGGCATTTTTCTAGCTCAATTCAGTGCATGACTGGATGATCTACATAGTAAAACTATTTCCCTGCTCAGGGTACACTGTAAGCCATTGCTGAGACTTAGGGACAGACTGGAACTAGACGATATGACATCTGAGTTAAGGTGTTTGGAAGTCTGAATTCTGTGTGTCACTCAGCATCTTTTGATTGCTACACACTGAAAAGATTTTAGCCCAACGTTAGATTTGTTGCATACGGCAGAAACCCTGCTTTGTCCTTCTTGCTCTGCAGAAGTTGAGTATAATTCAGGTACGTCTGACAACCTATGCATATGTCTTTGCTTGTTTTTTATTCTTTCCTTTAAAGAGAGCACCTCATTCTGTCCCGTATCCTGTCTTCTCTGTATGTAAGTTCATATGAAAGTCTGATTTCACCTTCACAATGTCTCCGTGACTTACACTTGAAGGTATTTCTTTTTGAACAGTGATTATTTAAGCTCTGCCTGTTTCTGTGCTCAGCATCAGTGGCTGCAGAAATTAACCAGACAGGACCCTGCCCGTCCTTCAAGAATTTACTGTCTAGTGAGGGGAACAGATGCCCACTTAAGCAGAAGGATGTCCACGTAGAGAGAATAATGAGGCAAGAGAAAAAGGCGGGAAACATTGAGAATATTATCATCCCAGCACTCTTAAAAACAAATCATACTCCTGGTATTGGGGTTTTGAGGTCCCATGAGGGTCTGAAAGCAGAAAACCTGCCCAGGTAAGATGTCACAGTGAAATCAGCCATGTCACTCAGGTAGGACTTCAAAGCTTCTTCGGGGCTACCACCCCCAGGTCAGTGTCAAGTTAGGAAATTTGCAAAAAGAGAAGCTAAATAGTGCATAATACAGCCCGTCTGTCAAGAAGCGCCTCCTCCTGAGAGGCATATGCCCTGTCGGTAGGACAACGTCTTCGAAGGCTCTGTGGTGTATCTTTCTACTTGTTTTCAAATTAATAGACACACGTAGATGATCAAATGAGACACACCGATAGTGTCCACAAGCACTACCATGCTCAGACTTGACCAGGAAAACTAGCCTGTGGCTTGTGGTCATTGATCACACAGGGCAGGGCTCTGGGATTGTATTATTTTATTTTATTTTTAGTTTGGTTGTTTTCAAATGTGAGTGGCTGCATTATGGAAGGGAGGCAGGGTCTTTGGCATGGTCCCTTTCTCTGAAGAAGGCCTGAATGTATAGCTTGATGCCACTGTGAATTCCTAACGTGTCTTTATTGTGGTGACAATATCTGTATACAATAGTTACAGTCTCCCGCACACCCTTGCAAACTGTAAAGCATCAGTCATAACGAAGTTATTAGTGCCGATATAATTCTACTATTTTTCTACATGGGCTCTTTGGTTGGCATTTTGTGTAGCTCGTGGTGTGTATAAATGAAAACAACGACAATAAAAATCCCCTGACTTTCTTTTTCCAGGACTTTGTGTTTATGGAATGCACAGCACACACTCTTGAGGAAGGCACGTAGGGCTGAAGGAATTCCTTCTGCCTTTGCTCAGAGGACATCTGGAGTATGGTGGCTATTTCTGGGACACACACGGTGGGAAGGGCTGAGAGTGTCCTGGGCGGCCAAGCAGAGCAGTGAGGGAACTCCAAACTGGACAGGACAGCTCGGGGAACCGGACCTGTCATTATGTGAACAAGAGACCCAGGTCTTCATCCTTATGTTCCATGCACCCTGATCACTGGGACTTTTTAACAATCCGAGCTGCTCCTTCAGGTGACAGGAGGGATGTGTTCCTGGTCCCCGGATGTTGGCTTGGCCGAGTGGGTCTAGAGGACCAGAGATGGCACAGTGTGGGAGGGCCAGCCCATGGTTTCCTGAGACAGGGAAATGCTGGTCATGAGTGTGGCAACCTGGGCCCAATTCCAGTAGAAACTGCCCATGACCATAGCCCCTGCTGGGAAAGGAGCCCCCAAGTTGTTCTGTAGTCGGTGTGGCATGGTGTCTACACTACGTGACCCCACTCCCACTGGCCACTGCTCCCAGGACCAGGGATGGACAACCGAGCCAAGGACCGAGCTTCTGTTGGGCTAGTGACCTGTGATAGACAGACAGACAGACAGGCAGGCAGACAGACAGACAGCTAGGCAGAATAGGGGTTGGGAAATTAGCCAAACCAATATGGCTGGCTCTGGAATCTAAACTGGGCAATGTAGTGGGAGAAGTGGACAGACAGAGACAGCTGGAACCAGTGGCTGAGTCATCGTAAAGGGGGCAGAGTGACAGGTGGCTCTGATCATATTGCTGACAACAAGGTGGCCAGCCCCTGGAGCTGCCTGGGGCTCCTAAGAGCAGGCTCTGTGGGGTCACCAGAAACCACAGCTCTGGATTTCCCATGTGTCATCAAGGATTCTGTATCTGAGTGAAACTCAGGGCCCCTGAAAATGGGGAGTGCCAATGATGTGACTCAGAGTAAAAGGTGTTAGCTTCAACTATCAGCTTGAACACATATCCTTCCCAATTTTGTACCCTATGCTTTTCGTTTGTTTGGTTGGTTTTTTTTAAAGGTCTTCATTGTCCTGTCAAGCCTGTGAAATAGGGAAAGCAGGTAGTATTTTCCCCAATCCAGACAGAAAGAAATTGAAACTGGGAGGCTTAAGAAATTAGCCCCCTATTTCTAAGACAATTGGTGGCCAAGCTAAGACAAACCCAGCTCTCATTTTATGCACATATTTTGAGAGTTTCTGGAGCCTGCCACTGATGTTTGAAGTGTGGGGGCAAGACACATGGCAGTTCTCCCAATTTACAAACGGTGCCCCAGTCCATTACCCATTTGGAGCCCTACCAAGCCCTGTAAGGCACCGCGGTCTGATGGGCGAGGAATCTAAGGCACCGAGAGTTTAAATGTTCGAACAAAATGACGTCTCTAATAACTGGGAAAAAACATCACTCCATGCCCAATCTCCCCCTCTATTAAAATGTTGATGGAGATGCAGCTGAAGCTATTATGATGGCTGGTGTCTAGGATCAGGACCCCGGGGAGGGCCTTGAGGCAGAAGCAGGAACACACCCAGGCTCTGGATGAATGGGGGCAGAGGTGGGGGGCACTCTGAGCCCGTCTCACCACTTGCCTGAGGCGTCTATCTCATAGGTCCTAAGTCACTGAGCAAATGTGACATGCGGGGGGTTGTCCCTGAGCAGCTAGGGTCAGCAGCATTCACTGGGCACCATCATGGATTCTGAGCAGCGGAACACAGAAGTCAAAAGAGGTAGAATTAGGGAGGGGCAGCATGACTTTCTAGGGTTTTTAGCTGGGATTAACGCGAATGAATTTATTCCAGTTCTATCCACAAGCCCCGACTGAGGTGTGCTATGTGCAGGCCATGGGGCTAGGAAAGGGAATTCATGCAACAAAGGGCTGCCATCCTCATCTGAGGTTGGGTTTATTTTTCAGCCATTAGCTGGGAAGTTGCCTTTTCACAAAGGGCTGCCCAGATCCCTCGCTAAAGGGTGATATTGCCTAGTTTCCTTTCAAAAGAAGTCTCTTGCTGCCTGCAGGACAAAGGGAATCCTTGGGAGTTGGGGTGACCATTCATTCTTTTATTTTACAAGACGCTCTGACTCAGAGAGGAAAGTTGCGAAGTCATGCAGCTCACAGAGAGGCCACCAGGATGGCAGGCTGGGTGTTCCTTTTTCCTTCAGTGTGGGGACTTCCTGGTTTACAAGCTGTCTCACAGCTGGGTGTCTTCTTCTGATACTTGTGACCTGCCTTACTGTAATGGAGTCTGGGTGGCTACTGCCATTTAATAGTGGGAGGAAATCAGATCTGGAGAGGCTAGGGACATGTCCAAAGCAGCACAGCTAGGTTCGGTATCATCGCCCCCCACCGTCTCCCCCGCCACTATTCTTTGGAGTTCCTATTAGCTATCCTCCCAAAGCAAAGTCAGTCATACCCTGGCATGCTGGGATGGCCATCCTGACAGTTGGTTTTCTCTTTTTTGTTATGCAAGTGCCAATCTAACGAACCTTTGATTGCTGAGGCGTCCACTTCCAAGATGGCAATTGGGAATAAACACAGTTGTCAGCCAGGACCAGATAAAGAACCAGGCGGCTCCCATCCCCCTACCCCAGGCTCCATGGCTTTAGAGATCTTGGTTGATTTCAATAATTGGCCATTTGGGCAGCTTGCTTTTTTCTCTCTCTGAACTTTAAATTCCCGCCCTTATGTTTAAATTCACCAATCAAGAGTGAGACCTAGAAACCCTGGGCCCCCACCTACAACCCCAGCAAAAGCGGACCCCCAAGCTCCTGTAATCTTCCTACCCGCGACCTGGCTGTGTGGCCCCAGGTGTGCCATGTGCTTTCCAGGACCTGTGACTAATAAACCACCCCCCCTCCTTTTTGTTTTTTTCAAAGTCTCCTGATGGTTATTGCTGAGGGCATCTCGCAGTCCTACTAAGAACCACAAGGGCTGGTCCAGCCACAACAATGGCTATCGATAGCCTGAGACCAGCACAAAACACACCCCTGTCCTTAAGACCTTCAAATAGCTTTCCAGTTTGGCCGGAGGAAAGCCCCGCCTCCGGGCATCGTGGGTCCTCCGTGATCTGGTTCCTGCCCAGCCCTAGGTCTCTTCTGGCCCCTCGCCTCTCCTTCCTCTCTATACTGCAGCCTCCTAGGACTCACCCAGACCGCTGCCACCTCAGGGCCTTTGCATTGAAGGCGGGGGCCTTTTATGGATGCTCTGCTTGGCCATTCAGATTCCAGCTCACCTTCCCCTGGCAACTACTTTTATGCTCTCTGTTTCTATGAGTTTGGTGTGGTTTTTTTTTAGATTCCTCATATAAGTGATACCGTGTAATATTTGTCTCTCTGTCTGGCTTATTTCATTTAGAATTTAGCACAATAGCATACTGCCTTCCAGGTTCACTCATGGAGTTGCAAATAACAGGATTTTCTTCTTTTTAAAGGTTGAAAATATTTCAATATTTTTTCCCCCTTTATCCATTTTCTTTATCCATTCATCCCTGAGGAACGCTCAGGTTGCTTCCATACCTTAGCTATTGTGAATAATGCTGCAATGAATATGAGAGTGCAGCTCTCTCTTTGAGGTAAAAATTTTGTTTCCTTTGGATGTATATCTAGAAGTGAAATTGCTGGATCATATGGTAGTTGAACTTCTAATTTCTTAAGTTGCATTTTTAATTTTTTGAGGACCCTCCATACTGTTTTTTCTGTAGTGGCTGCAACAGTTTACAGTCTCACCAACAGTGCACCAAGGCCCCCTTTTCTCCACATCTTGTCTTTCTGATCATAGCAGTCAACAAACCCAAAAGGCATTGAAGCTAAAAAGGAGAGACTTTATTCAGGCAAACAACTTGCAAACGGGGGAGAAGCATCCTCCTGCCAAAAAAAAAAAAAAACAACAACCTGAAAATGTGCTCCTATGAAACAAACGGGAGGAAACTTTTCTTATACAGAAAATTCCCGCCCAGGTTCCTACTTAGGCACGTTCTATGCAAATAAGGTACCCAAATTCCCACAGTTCTCAGGGGCCCGAATGGCGCAGTTCTGATTGGCCAGTGTTACGTGTCCTGATTGGTTGTTAAGCAGCAGTTCTGATTGGACGGGGTGCGCCTCACTTCATTGGTTGAAAGGCGAAGTCAGGCGCTGTGGGCGGAGCGCGGGAAGCCGAGTGCTCAGTCTCGGGTCGAGGCGGTGACCGGCCGCTGCCCAGCCGGGGCTGCAGCCTCGCACCTTCGAGTCCGGGCCGTCGGTGCACCGTCGGAGGTCCAACTCGGCAGGTGAGTTGTTTCCCGGGGTTCTGCCTTTCTGAGGTCCACGTAGCCGTTCCAACAAGGGTGAAGAGAGAGCTCCTGTTCGTTTTATTAAGAAGGAGCGTTTCCCTGATGATTCGTGATGCCCAGCGCCTTTTCGTGCACGGACTCGGCCATTTGTGTGTCTTTGGAGAAATATCTAGTCTGGTCCTCTGCCCATTTGTTAATATGGAGTTTTTGTTTTTGTTTTTCACTGTTTCCGGTCCAACTAGAGTATACATTGCCTGAAGGCCAGGGTGTGTCTGTTTTGTTCGTCTCTAGCCGAGGTATTCTGGACAGGACACAGCAGAGCGCTCAGGAAAAGCCCTTTCAGGCGCCCCGAGGTGAGACGAGGCGCACCCCTCCTTTTCTCATGGAAGGAAGGGGCCTTGAACGCGGCTAATCCCGGTGATTTCTATTATCTGTGAGTTTCTGCAACTAGCATTTGCTCCACTAGAGGGCAGAGCTCTCTGCTGCTTTTTCTTTTAAAGGGCACAATACGCTTTGGGGGCCGGTAAGGGGTAATCCGGAGGGGCTCTCCATAGCCACAGAATAAATTGTTTGAGATAATTTGACATCATGCCTGCCCAAGTTGGAGATTAAAATGATTCAAAACAAAAGCAAAACAAACAAAAAACCGTAACATAC